ACCCTTTTATAAATGAATTTTTAATTATAGCTTGTAAGCTTTCACTTAAGAGTGTTTTGGGTSTAAAAGACTGGAAATTGGCTAGTGTGACAACAGTTTTTAAACACGTCCAGGAAAAATCTGTGAAACKACAGAAAGCCTGGTATCTGCCCAGGAAAAATGAGCAAAAACAAAAGAATAAGACAAAAGAATACGTGGGCACACTCACAAAGATGGCATTTTTGTTATATGAAAGGAAGCAAAGAAGATAGGACCAACACAGCTATTTTAAGTTATGTTTAAGAGATCAACCTCCTGGGATTCCCTGAAGGAGTCACAGTGTATTGTGGAAATTTGCAAAGCAAAGACTAGATTTCCAAAAAAAATTTGATAAATCCATCACTGAGAAATCTTTAAGAAAAAAAAGAAAAAAAGAAAAAGAAACCCTAAACTCTTAGAAGAAAAAGGAATGTCCTTGCAAGGATAAATAATTGGAAACAGATGGTAGGAGAATAATGTCAAATTTTGGAGTGGAGAGAGGTCACTAGTGGAGTCCTGCAGGGATCTGTGCTGGAACTTCACATATTTATAAATGATCTGGAAAACAGGGTGAATACAGAGGTAACAAAGTTTGCAGCTGATACTCTTCAGGGTAGCTCAGATAAGGGCTGACTGTGAAAAAAGACTTCTCAGTATTAAGTAACTAGACAATAAAAWGGCCAATGTAATTCAGTGTAGATGAATAAATATGAAGTAGATCCTTTAGAGGCAGGGGAAAACTAATTTTACAWAGAAAATGTGCTCCAAATGTGCTCTGATCATTTCAGGAATGAGATCTTGGGGTTGTAATAGGCATTTTTTTGGTGAAAATATCAGCCTACTGCTCACTAACGAAAAAAAAAAAAAGAATATTAGGAATTACTGGGAAAGGAGTGGAGAATGAAGGACAGAATATCACTATGCCAGTGTACAAATTGCTGGTTTATTTGTATCTTCAATACTGTGTATAGTTCCGGATCCACCAAAGGATGGAGTAGACAGGAGCTAGTTCAGACAAGGGCAGCAWGGGCATCAAAGACGTGGGTCAACCTAACAGCTAAGGAATGAGTTGATAAGGACTCTTTCCCTTTCAAAAACAGTAACTGAGGGGCGATACCACAAAAGGTCTATCTACAGAATGGAAGGGAGCTGGGTCTACATGGAAGGTGTTTAGGGATCTCTTGTTTAGAGCCTCTTCCAATACAACAGCTAGTGGTTACCAAAGTAAAATCACAGGTATAAGGTATAAAACATTGAAATAAAATCCTCTCGATTCTTCTCACATTATGCATTAAGTTGTGGAACTCTTTGCTTTGGGAAGCGACCAGACCAAGTCCTAAAAAAGAAATTCTACCCAGCACTCTTAAATGCAAAGTTTCTGGTGCAGGAATTCCCCACAGGGGCATGTGCTGAGGCTGGGAGAGCCTCTTGGGCAAAACAAGCTTCTTCTGCCCTTATATTCCTGTGCAGACACAGTGGCTGTTGGCCACTGCGAGAAACAAGATACCAGACTAGACAGGGCTTCAGCTTGACACGGTGCAGCCGGTTTAGTTCAACCCTCCTCTTATTCTGGGCATGGATCTACTAGAAAACCTACATTGTTTTTTTCATGCTATTTATCCCCGGGACATTTCTATGTCTTTCTTTGCTTTGTCTGCTTTTCTTTTTCCCCTAACCTGTAATGTCACAGTCAAGGAAAAATAAATGGCAAATGTCTAACAGTGAAAAAATCGCAGTGACAGAGTGTTTGATTTAACTTGTATAACAACAAAAAATGAAGAAGTGTCTTCATGGGAAAGGTTCCTTGCTGCCTTGAGATGCGGGGTAGCAAAGACCAATATTACTTTGTTCCCACCAATATTACTTTGTTTACAGCAGTGGTGGAAAAGGCTCAGGTTGTGCTCATGCAGACGCTCAGATTAGGTAAGCGTAGATACAAGTAGATATGATTTTGAAATTGCAGAAGCAGAGGCTAGGCGCTGGCAAACCAGGCTGTCAATACTAGCTCTCAATATATACAGTGTACACTGATAGCATTTTGCACACAAACCAAAAAAACAGCATCAGCAATTGCAAAATCACAGGGGAGTCTAATGTATGTTGTTCTCACATGCACCAACAAAATATTCTTTTCTATGAATTTTCTGCTCAATCCTGTCAAGAGCATGACTAGATAGAGACAAGGACTCAGAATCCATGCATTCGAAATGCTACTTATCTTTTCCTTGTTTAAAAAAACACCTTTTCCAAACGAGAGCCGTATCCTGCTAAGAATTTATAATGACTCATGCAGGACAGCATGTGATCATAAGGTTTCCTTTAAAGAAATGAGATCCTAAGCTTTTTACGCCATCCTAAATGAAGCACAGTCCCAAATTGAAAAAGTGCTTCTGAGGAGATTTAAACCACATTAATTTAAAGTATTATCATGTGATTATAGCTGAATGCTGCTAAGGTAAACAACAACAAGCAAAATCAAAACTATACTCACATATTTATTTTACTACTTCAAGTTCAATCTTCTTCCTGCACAATGCAGGACTATATGTATATGTAGGTGGCATTACTATAATGTAATTTAAGAGATCAGTATCTTAAGCTTATTATTGCTAGTTGCTTATATTCTCAAAAGAGTAAAGTAATAACAGAAACAGGTGAGATAGCTCATAAGAAACTAAAGCTCACTAAAAGAGCTCACTAAAACTCCCTTGTCCTGCAGATTTTATTCTAACTTGTACTTACACCCTAGCATCATAGCTTTCTTTTTCACAGGATACAAACCATACCAGTGTGTTTTTTCTGGTAGCTTTCTCTCTTTTTGAGGTGATGCAAAAAATGAACAGTGAGGTAAATTGTACATTAAGTAACAACATTGAGCAAATAACAAAGCAAGCCTCTCTCAATACCCAGCAGTGTTCTAGTTCTTCTTCTCCCAGGACATTCACATAGAGCAAACAGTGAAAGATGACCAATAACTATCTAGCTGCAAATGTATTCCCCTGAGAACGAATTTTGGAGAATTATAATTAATTTTCATTTTGGAGATAAGTAGGCTGAGAGGTGCTTCTGATTCTGCTATTGACGTAAAACTCCTTTTTGTTGACTTCAGCACGAAGAGCACCTCTATTAGTGTGGAAGGTGGTGCAAACTGCATGCCATTTTGCCTGAAAGCACATTTGCAGTGCAAYGCTCCTGCAGGGAGGTGAATCCTGGCTGGACTCACCTGGAACAACACAGTTCATTGGTTTCTAGGCATCATTATACACTCGTACAGAAATGCAGTAATCAGATTTATTTATTTCCACCTTGTACTAGCTTCCATTGGCATAAGGCAGTAGAACCATATAGAAAAACACTGTCTCTCTGACATCAGAAGGTATATGGGATCTAGAAACTGGGCTGTTGTGCTGCATACAGGACATGAACAAAGCAGCCTGAGGATGCACCAAGCCAGGGAATATTTACAGCACCTGGTACCAGCAGAACCAGAGGAAAGAGCTGAAAGCAAAAGCCCTTAGTGGGGAGAGGAGGTGTCAGTGGTGCACAGCAGATGCACCCTGCTCTTCCTGGAGCTGAGTGACACCRCTAGGTACAAGTATCAACACCCACATGTGAATATGTGCTGGCAAATAGAAGAAGTAGCCCCAGGCTCACACATGAYTCCCAGTGCAAGGACTAGGAGCCCGATCCTACTCGCACTGGAAAATCTACCAACCTCAAGTAACTGCAGGCTCAGTTCTCATGGGATAAAGAGAAAAAAAATGAAGAAACTTAAAATATAGTATCAGCGAGGCATAAGAATATTTAGAATACACACATTAAGAGCATCACAGATAAAAAATAGAGAAAGACATTTAGTGCAAGCAAGAAATTTCCACTAAGCCCTATGGACTAATTGGCAAATGCAGTAATGCTGGACATGATACTCAGCAAACAACTATGAATTTCTACTCTGAAACTGAAATTAGAGTGGGCCAGTTAAGGGGACTGAAGACATGACTGTGAGCCCACTTTGGAGACATTTCAGTCTGCTTCCCCAAAAGCTTAATCCTGCCAAGCCCAAACTTCCCAATTTCAGGGCTTTACCAGGAGGATAGATTGGAAGGCAGGATTTCATTTCAGACAAACTCTTTCCCAAATTATTAAAGATGTGATTTTTTCCCTCTCGGGAAAAGTGACTGCATCACTATCACAACTCCGGGTACTGTTCTGGTCCCCTCCTCAGCAGCAGCTCAACCACCTCCAGGGCTCTATCAGCCCGGCAGGAAAGCTGTGGCAGAGCTGCAGAGAGGGGTGTCCTGGTGCTCTCCCCCGCTTGCCAGGCACTTTCCCAAGGGAGACACTGGATGTGAAGGGGAAAGTCAAATGATAGCATGAGACATCTGAGATAAGCCAGTAACTGAAATGATTTTTCCCCCCGTCTAGCGTATGGAGGAATATCAACCTTGCAGATAGGAGGCACGGGGTCCAAAGAGGAACCCGGGTGTACAAAACCCAATGACCTCAGCTGCCCTTCCACCTGGCCAGCAGAGGACCTCCCCACCACCCTCGTGGAGCCGAGGCAGGTTCTGCTGTGAGGAGGAAACCTGGGCTAGGCACTAACCTTCAACAGGCGGTTGACTTTGCCCTCCACAACCAGCTTGAGGTGTCCCTACAAGCTCCCACTCCCATTTTCTCCCGACCTTTCCTGAAAGACCAGGTCCTAGAGGATGGATGTGGGATGCAGGGAGCAAGGTGCGAGCCCTCCCAGGGGCACAGGGGCAGCTGGATGCACCTGGTTGAGTTTGGAGGTACCTTCCTACCCAGCTGCTCCATGTCCCCAGCGCGGGGGCCGCGGCTCCYGTTCGGAGGGTGCAAGGGCAGGGCCGGGGTCACCGTGCCCGTGCTCCAGGGATGCTGATGCATCCCCGCTTCTCTGGGGGCACCGTGCCGGGGTGACCCCCATGGAGGTCCCATATCCACCCCCCGGCTCCCCCACTCACCCGAGGTGAGCTGCATCCAGGCACAGATCTTGTAGACGGTGGCTGTGTTGCAGAAGAAGAAGAGGATGAAGCAGACGATGCAGGCGATGATGAGCATCATCGAGAGCCCGATGAAGAAGGAGGCAGCCTTGAAGGCTCCCGAGGGCAGGCTGGAGAAGTCCGTGAAGCTGCCCCGGCAGGTGAGTTCCCGGCTGAAGCCGTTGCCGATGCAGTAGTGGAAGAGCCCGAAGTAGCCCGCCTGCGGCGTGTCCACGCCGTCGCCGATCCAGTAGGGCTGGATGAAGCACACCACGTTGACGATGGCGAAGCAGATGGTGAAGATGGCCCAGAGCACGCCGATGGCGCGCGAGTTCCGCACGTAGTTGGTGTGGTAGATCTTGGCCGCCTCCTGCGCCGGGAGCATCCCCGCCGCCGCCGAGCCCGCGCCCGCCGTCCCTGCCGCCGCTCCGGGCATCCTCGCCGCGAAGATCCCCCCTCCCCTTCCTCCTCCTCCTCCTGCGGGCGCCGCTGCGTGCCGGAGCCCAAGCCCCTCCGCCGGGCTCAGCGGCTCCGCGGCAGCAGCAGCAGCAGCAGCAGCAACATGGGCCGCCGCTGCCGCCGCCTATCGCGGCTCGGCGCTGCCGGCCGCCGCGCCGCGCCGCGCACCGCCCGCCCCACAGCCCGCCCTCCCGGCGCCCGCGGCCGCGCCGGGCGCCACCCGCCACCCGCCGCCACCGCCGCCACGGGAGGCCCCGGCGGGCCGGCCGGGGGCGCCGCGCGCTCGCAGCAGGGCCCCRCTCCCCTGAGCACCACCTCAGGGCTCCCGCCCACCATCACTGCGGAGCCCTCGCCCCGCAGGCCCCTCGCGACACCCCGRAGCGGCCCCGCTGGAGCCCCTGCCCCACTAAGGACACGGTTTATCCCCATCAGGTTCACGGCCGGTCCCTCAGCCCTACGCTAAGCACTGCCCTGTCCCTGAGGGTGCTGAGGGGATCACGGTAGGTTGCCCCAGTTGGGTTGCCCCCCAGTACTGCTCGTTGTCCTCACGGATACGCTGAGGTGAAAGATGTTAAAAGTTATAAGCCTGTTTTTAAAACCCATTTATCCTTTACAAAGCCCATCTTCCTTTACAAAACATAAGTACAGACTCAACTATGGACCAGTAACTTGTAAATTTGCCGTGGCAAGTTGGCCAGCAGCCTCCAGCACGGGTATAGGGGGATCCAGGAGACACTTGTCTCCTGCCTAAATCAAACCCAAGATCTGATAAAAACAGCTGTCTTGGGGCTTGGAAATACAGGTAAACGTTTGGGGTTCCTTCTCATTTTTATATAAAGAGATGGCAGTGGTGGTTTTCTGGAAGAGACCGTGGTTGTGAGAAGGAGGTAGGTTAGAAAGAATAGCCTCAAAGCAGTGCTGAACACGCTTATGTTGAAGTGCGTTAGTGAAGAAACGGGAGGTGACACCAGTGGAGAAAAGTAGCTCAACTGCAGTCAAATGACTTGGGTCTGGCCCCCTTCACATCGAACATTTTGGCATGCAGCAGTAATTAGCATATATTAATGAGCAATTAGCATCTGGTAATAATCATTCATATGTCACTGACACTKGGATTCACGGTCTCCAACCTGTGCATTGAGCCTGAGTTAATAACAATAATTGATGGTACGTACATATAGCTCTTTGAAGATTGTCCTCTCCTGAGATTGTTTAAAGCCAGAGAGCAAAGGAATGAGTAAGGAACTTTTCTGAGAGCAAAGAAGATAACGCTGTSCTTTTCCAGTCCAGATTTCTTCCTGTCAGTGGGAAACGTTCTGGTTGATGCCAGCAGAGGGCCACACTAAATTAAGTATTACTGCTTGATCATCAAAGCCTGGGAGAAGAAGCCTTTGTGGAAATTGATTTCTGTCATTTGGTAAAAAAATTACCAGCTTGAGACAAAGTTTGATTTCTTGGAGGCTTAGAACAAGTAAAAGTCTGCCTAAAAAAAAAAAAGTTTGCTAGTTTTTAAGCCTCAAAACTCTCCTCACAGCAGACAGAGCTGTTCTCCTAACTTGGGGATCCTTTTTCAGAAGTCTCAATGCTTGCCACACACCTAGGAGAAAGGACCACACATAGGAGAAAGGATTTGCTCCTTGTCCCCCATTGCTTCTTGTCAGTAGGTTGGAGGCTTAGGCTTTCGTTGTGCCACCATTCACAAGACCAGGAGAAGGTGTTTGCTATACAACTGTCATTAGGCAAATTCAATGTAACAAACACAGCAGCCCATCTCTGGTTTTCCAGAATGTAAGGATGGTGGGGCTAGGAAAGGTAAGATCTGCCCAAACATTTCCAAGCCCCTGTGCTCCAGTCATGGAGAGAGGCAGGGTTTTGAAAGCTGAAGGATGGGAGCCCATGGAGAGCAGCATCAGTTCCAACATTACTGCTACATGCAGTGCAGCACTGCCACTGGGGTGTGTGATATGCACACCTGTACCTGGCATACAGCACATCATATAGCCCTGAAACTGGCAGCAGGAGTTGTGTGGGCCCCAAATAGCAAACATAAATGGCAAAGTAGATCCAAGCATGCAAGCTACAGGTGGGAGTCTCTTAAGATTCACCTCATCTTTGTCCTTCCGCTGTGTGACCAGACTGCTCATATGTCATGCTCAGAGGGCAATTCAACTTGCCCCAGCTGCAGAAGGAATGACAGTCGTTCTCTTCGGTGCTTGTTCTCATTTTCTGCAGGTTTAGGTTAGCTGGACATCAGAGCTCAGGATATGTCCGTCTTGTGCTCTAAAGAGCCATCAGTTATGAAGACAAGATAAGAACCAGAGAAGGCTGGAACAAACAATTTAGGAATGGAGGTCAGAGCACAATTTTGGTAAGAAGTCCTGAAAGCTCAAAAATAAAGCAGGGTATGGACCAAGTAAGCAGCTTGAGGGTAGTTGTCTATGAATATCCACATGATAAAAATGGGCCGTCAAGTTTGAATGACAGGAAGAAGAGAGATGGACCTAAAAAGGATCCAGGAGAGGTCAGGAGAGGTTCTCTCAAAAGGAATCGGGCAAGGGGACAAGGGGGTTGCAAATACTGAGACTAGAGGAGAAGCTCAGGGGGACAGAGCCAGACTGGTTTAGGGAAGGAAACATGGGAGCCGGGCTCCCAATTTGGCTCCCATGTCCCCTAAGACAGAGATAGGTCTGAAACAGAGGAAGAGATCAGGATTGTATTGATAAGCTGAGTAAAAGAGTGCAGGAAGAGAGAGGTGATTAGATGTGTCCAGGTGGCTACAGAGGCATGTGGCCACTTGGGGTGTCCAAGGATGTCCTCCTCTCTGTCCTCCATCTCCTTTTTCAAAAGGACACAGATTTTTTACAGATCCTAAATGATATCCATTAGTCCYTCAAGGACAAACATCTAAAAGAAATTAGAACTAGATGTATGGATCATTTCAAAGACTTTACTAACTTGAAATCACTCCATACTCAGAACTGGAAATCCTCTAGTGTCACTCTTCTTTGATATCACAAATTTCTATTAAATGCACTGATAGTATGTCCCTTCTCCTTCTAGTGTTGGTCTCTACAGGAATAATAAATTTCAGAGGTAAATCTTTGGCCAATTACTCTGTGAGTTCAAACTGCAAAACCCACTGTTGGATTTGAAAGTTCCTTCCAATATAATGAAGCTGGTGGTACTAATATTATGTCACATGAAGAAATATCATAGGTATTTTTTTTTTATAAATTACAATTGGCAACATATGCTGAAATGCAAAAGAACTTGCCTAATATTCAAAATCAAAAGTTGGAAAAAGCCTGGATTAAGATTATCTGTGCAATCTTAAATCATCTGTTCTGTATTATTTTGTTACGGTATATTCTTTAATTACATAATCATTAACCTTTCCTTTCCACAAGTTTCCTTGCTCATTTGTTTCACAAGACAGCAGTTGCTACAAAGAGAAGCTATTTCTTTTCATCTGGTTACTCAATGTGCAGCACTGAAGAAAGTCTTAGGAATGTTCTTATAGACTGTTTTGTGATTTTTACCACAATTACATGAGTGTTTAACAGTCTTAGAAAATACCATGTCTCTGTACAGTAGAAGGGTGGAATATTAATTCTACAGAGAGTAATCTGGACAGAGAAGTTAAGGTAAAACACCATCACCTCATTTTTCGAAGCAGACTTCCGAAGAATTTTGGCTGCAGCAGCTCTGCAGATCAGCTCTCACTCAGTGGGAGCAACACTGAGTTGCTCCTCATCTGTACAACATTTTAAGCATCTGACATGGCATCCCCCCAAATTTGTGACAGAAGCAGAGAGAGTCTCCAGCCCTTCTGGACAGCACTGATCATCTTAATCCTCAGATCATCCTTCTTTCCAGTGAGCCTGTCCTAATGCACTATTTTCTGACCCACAGAATTAACTGGGTCCTGTCCTTGTGAACATCATCTAATTTCATCTGAAAACGCTGAGGCTTAAACTACTTAAACCAGTCTTTTCAAGTGCATTCAAGCTCCAGTTTTTCCAACAGATGAGCTCGGAAATTCCCATCATCCCGATCTTTCCTTACGTTGCCTTATGCCCCTAATAAAGCAGGATACCATTGACAGGTGAATATGTAAACATGCATCATAGAGCAAACAGTTTGTAAATTAAGTTGCACGGTATATTTGGTACATCCTATTTTTTTTGGTACGTCCTATTGAGCTCCTTATTTTGCATCTACAATAATTTTTTTKTGTGTGTATGTGCATGTGTGGGTATAAAATCAGCAAGATTAAAGCAAATTATATGATTTTTAAAAGTGTACTCTCTGACCCACATTCTCTTGGGACCATCCTATTCCATCATTTTATCTAGCCATAATTTGTTCATTTTGTATATGCATAAACCATGCCACAAAATAAAATAAAAAATGAAACTTGCTACATAATTAATATTTCTAATGAACTAGTTTCACCATTTCTCTTTGGAATGGGCCATGGCCGAKAGCTGTGTTAGCAGGTTGTCCATGTGGAGCACTTAGAGGAAGGGTGTGTGTTGTGTTGGGCAAACTGTAGGGCACATGAAGGCAGTTGTYGGGCCATAAGGAATGTTTAGGAAGAGTGGGAAGCAGTGGGCAGTTTGGAAAGGGGTGCAGATCTTAATTTCCTTCAAAGTACCTGTTGAGTGAAAGCAAGATAACAGGGAGAGGGCATGAATGGCTGGTTGGAGAAGGGTTGGCAAGAGAACCAGAGGGCCCATGAAGGAAAGCAAGAGCCCTGTGGGAAGGGAATGRGATAGCAGGAAATGATGTGCTAATTGAAAAGAAAGCAATATAGTGTCTGGTGATAAATGATCTAGCTTTGGCTTCTCAGGGTGGCACTGAGGGAATCAGCCCTACCTTAGAGTCTCTTGCCATTTCACGGTCAGGTCCACCTGCCATCTCCTCACCCTGCAGCTGCTCTTTGGTGGCCACAACTGTCCCATTCACGGGAACTTT